AGATGGATTAGTATTCATCTTTGTATTTTCCATTTTTTCAGTTAATTCTTCTAACTGTTTTTTATATTCTTCATACTCTTCACATGTAGATTCTAGTAATTTTTGTTCTATTTCTTCTACATCTGTAATCATATATTGTTTTTCTTCATGTTTTTTCCCTTTATTATTTTCCTTTTGTATTATCCTAAAATCTTGAGGTGGATTAATTATAATCTTGTCTTTTTCTTTAAGATTTTTATCTAAAATAGCGTTTCTTACTTGTAGATTATATTCTAGATTTTCTAATTTGTGGTGTTCTTAAGTAAATAGGGATAACTGGATTTTTTATGTTTTTCAACATTTTTCAAAAATTCTTCAATTATATTTTCTTCATCTACTATATTCATCATAATTTTTGGTTCGTAACATGGCTCTAATACCATTTCTTCAAAGTGTGCAGCGGAGGGGTTTAAATTTTTGAGCCAATTAAAATCTTCATAAGTAGTTAAAATATCATAATAGAATTTATAAAATTCACTATTTTTTATTAAAACTTTTTCTTCAATAATTATATTTAGTTCTCTAATTCTTCTTCTCAGGTTAAGAATTAGTTTATATATATCATTTTTTGTTTTGATTGTACTGTAATCTATAGAAACATTTTTATTTTTTAATTTTCGATCTAAATATTTTGTGAAAAATCTTTTTAGATCTTCTTCTAAATAATTTAATTTATTTTCTGTTGCGTTTTTTAGATCAATAAAATTTTGTATAATACTTGGGGTTAAATTTATTAAAGATTTTTGATCTATATTTCTATGAGGACCTAATTAAAGGTTTTTATTCATTGTAGTGACTTTGGTTGCAATTTCATAATAAGGGATATTTTTGGAAAAGTTATTGTTCAAAGGCTATTATTCAAATGTTTATATTTTTTGATCTAATCTCACAAAACTCTCTTTTATTTAGACTATCTAGAGGTATTTCCTCTGTACTCATAGGGGTAAATAAACATTTCTCCGCCAAGGGATGTAAATGAATTCTAGAAATTTTTTAAAAGTTGAAAGGCTTCCCAATTCTCATGTATGGACGCTTTTGTGTAAACAAGTCAATAGCCAATTTTCTTCCTATTTGATCTAAACTATTATCCTCGAGGAAGTTATGCATATGTAAAAATAAAATGCCTTCTGTATACATGCAACCTCTGGACATCAAGTGAAGGACTATTGTCTTTCAGAAAGGTTGCCATATTTGAAAGTAAGTGTAAGAATTCTATTGTTGATGCAATTAATCATGTCAGCACATCATAATCACAAGAAGACATGGGACAAATAAGTGTACAATAACTGATGTTTATGTCGATCTTTTAGTTCGCTTACAGTCACAGCCCTACATGAAGAAAAACGCAGGAAAAAGAGCTAAAAAATATCTAATAGATTCAAATTATAGTACAGTAAAGATAGACCAATGAAAGACATGAACTACAACCTAAAAGATATCGAAACGCTACTACCTAATGGTTCAAGACAATAACTCAAATTAGTATAGAAATACGTACTAAATTGGAACTTCCATTTTTACGGGAGATGGTGCTGTATCAACTGTGGCTGAATGAAGCCAATCCTTCGCACAGACAAGGGCCTCTACTGTCTCGGGTCGTAGTGAACATCTGTAACTATCCATCTCCTTACGTTTGGTATCAAATACAGAAACACTAGGAACGGTGCAAACTGGTACTGACAAGACATCACAAGCCATCCTTGATAGAGTCGGATACTTCACTTTGTTTAGTTTCCACCACCCTACCACATCAAATTCATGGACACGTGGTAACAAGGACTCCTCCAAGTATTGATCCAATTCTGACCTCGACTGCTGGCTTGTAGACTCCATGATAAATACGTCAAAATCTGCAAGTCCTAGGCCATTGCTTGAGAGTCCAATTCCTTGGGGATCCTCCGACTTCATAGTCATCCCATTCGCTTCTTCAGCATAAGTGGGAGTTAGAGGCAGGGGAAGAGCAACATATTCAAGGAAGAGCTCATGGATTCCCTCATCCACAATTTTCACATATGAGGCAGACTCTTCACCATATATCTTGGAAAAACTAAATTCAACAAGCTTCATTTTGAATCGTGGATCCATAACTACTGCCACTGCTAGGACAAAGCAGCAACTCCTCCAGTATTTATCAAAGTTCTCCTGCATTAACTTGGTCAGGCTGCTGATCACAGGGTCCTCACTTGCCCCTGCACGTGCCAATTCCAGCTGAATCTTCCAAGCTTCATGGAAGAACGTGTTTGTTGTTGGCATAGTTGGAGTTGTCAGGAGATTGGCAGTGTCAAATAGGGGTTTCAAGTAAGTACATAGAGTCTCAATCTGCTTCCAATCTTCCATCGATGGGGCATCCTTGTAATCAGGATCAGAAGTGTCCAAACAAGAGAAGACTTCCTTTAACTCAGATGCAGCCAACAACATTTCATAAGTTGTGTTCCACTGAGTTTGGTCATCAATAGCAAGGCTCTTTGCACTTGGCACTTGAAGTTGCTGTTTAAGCTCAAGAAATTTTTCCTCATGCGAATCTGAAGTTTTCACATACTTGACACTATCTCTGACTTTATTAACAATTCCCTGCACAGAAGTTAGTGCATCTTGGACTATGCTGCTTAGAGATCGAGCAAGGCAATTCTCGACCAACAATTGACCATTAAGAATAAGGGGGTTCTTAACAGAGAGTAGAGCTCTAAGGTTATCAATTGCGGCATCAGTCAGCGATTGATTGATGGCAACAGAAAATAACTTGCCATCCATACTCCAATCAGAAAGGCAAGCAGCAATAGAATGGCTGAAAGCAGCATCTGAATCAGGATATGGTTCCATTATGACATTGAGGAGTTTACGGTGCATTTTCCAGTCGCTATCGATGAACTGCCCCGTTATGAACATGTAGCCCATAGTTTGGCATGAAGACCATAAGTCCAGCGAAAGGCAGATACGCCCAGCCATCCCCTCAAACACCTTCTGAATGTTTTGCTTTTCCCTAAGATAGGTTGCCACACAATCCCCTTGTACAGTGTTGAAGCTCACCATGTCAAAACGGGGCTGAAGATTATGAACAAATGCTACAAAACCAGGGTGTTCAACAATATGAAGAGGGTAGTCATGCATAATAATCATTCTAGCAATCTCATGTCTGCACCGATCTGGATCAAATGCAAAGTAAGGTACACTGGCTGTTCTGTAACGTCGTTTTGGCGTATCAGAATATGTGCCCATCTTTGATGGAGCACTAAACGGGGTTGATAGATTCTTCTCCTGATTACGCAAGACAACTGGGCAAGTTCCCTTGGCTATGTGCCGCTTAAGATGACTTGTGCCAGCTACTTTAGAGCCCGTGCTGTATGCAAATGACTGCTTGCATTGTTTGCAGCATGCCCGTCTAGTACCAGGACCAACGGTTTCAATAGTGAAATGTTCCCAAACTATCGACTTCTTTTTCCTACGCCTAGTGGGTTGTGCCTCAATGTTGTTGGCTGGTGTCTCTGTGTTGATGATTTGTCTCTCTAAATTGTCAATCTGCATCTCTGAATTCATGGGTTCATCGGGTTGTGGGTCCACCGGGACAAGCTCGTTGTTCATGACTTCAGCAGGGCTTTCCATCTCGAGAGACATGTGATGGGACAATTTCTGCAAAATAAGCAATATATTAATTCCTAGAACAATTGAGTCACAAGATGGACCCTGAAGGCACACACTCAATGTAAACCTGGATACAAGTAAATGAAGGGGATTATCATTTTTTACACAACACTTTGAGCATCATTACAATTTGCAGACTGCAATGAGCACAGAATACCATAAGAAATTGAATCATAAAAGCATCTTATAACTTTGTGTAAATAGTTGAATTAGGCATTAGTTTCCGCATCATTTCATTTATTGAATCTATTACACGAGGGTTGAGAATATATGAGAAGTTGTGAGCAAACATTGTAGCCAAGAAAGTGTAGTAATCTCTAAAATTCACCTCCGGCTCCACAATAGTAACATACATTCTATTGCACTAACTTGACAAATATAAACACCCCAGGGTAGAGCTCCTCCAGACATTATATGGAAATATCAAAGCATTTTGCAAGGTGTGATAGTAAGTTTTATTTCAGAAATTGTCCAAGTCTTTCCTGAAATTAAAAATTTGCGATCGAAATTGCACCAAAAAATATAAATAAATAAATAAATAAAATTATGGAGCTTACTATCAGTACTCTGCAACAAATTATTATTCTTTCTAGAAAATTTATAACATAGAATTCTAATATGCAATTAGTCCTAGGTGAGCAAAACTACATGATAAAAAAACACAAACCCAACAAAATACAATATAGTGCAACTCAGAGTATCAGCTACAAGGTTCAGTACCCATCCCCGTGCAAAACTATGAGTTATAAATGGATGACTGGGTGAGTAGTAGAGAATAGGGTATCTAGAAACTAGAAGGCTACATGGGCCTTATCCATGGCCCACAAAAATATTTCTAGATGCACTTCATAAAATAAGACTGGGACAAAGGGCCACTGGACTTCCACTATTATAACCAAAAAAAAGTCAAAACAAACACAAACACAAGAAATAAAACAGATCTATCGTTTCATCCATCATGGGCTTAAGAATAATTTAATAGAGCCCAATAAAAAACTTCCGACCCCAACATTCGAACATCAGAATGACGAATGACGAATCTATTAGTCACTGCAAAAAAAATTAAAAACAGCCAAAACTAAGGGAAGAAATCAAGTAAATCAGCTGTAAAACACTATAAAAACTGGAGAAAAAAAGCTTCAGAAAAAGTTCAAATCTATGACTATAACAAATCAGAACAAACAAGAAGAAAAATAAAACCATATATTTATCAGCATCAATAAGAAATTAGAAAAATAAAATCATCAAATCCTGGATCGAAATCAAGCAAAACAAGATTCATACTGTTCGAATACATTCATATTCAGATCTAGACATCCATACCTCAAAATAAACAGATTTCAGAGAAACCAAGGTGAGAAACGAACCTCTATTGCTAAATCTCGCGCCGAATCTAGGGTTTCACACAGAGAATGAGGAGAGAGAAAATCGACGAAGGAGATGAGAGAGAAAGAGAGAATTGGGCTTGAGCCAATTGAATTGGACCTATAATTTTTC